CGCAACCGGTGCGCAGTGGTATCAACGCAACGCGACCTGCACAGCGATTGCAGACTCCCGACGATTCGCGAATATTTTAAAGACCTCACTAAACTGACTTCGATAGAGGCGAACATCATCCCAACCCTCTGGTGGTAAACGCAGCAAGTTACCAACCCGACACAAACGCGAACGTCAACAAGCGTCGCCCGCGAAACGTCCTCATCGACCCGAGCGACGAAGAGGACTTAGAAACGATGGACCCACCGCCGGGGGTCCCGCCGGATAACACTACACCCACAGTTAGTGCAACTACAAACACACTAGTTCGCCCTCGCCTCCGAGCACGGCGAGACCAACACAACGCGTACACAAGGTACACCCGCGTACCGGGACAGTTCTCACCGCCCCCAGCCACCGATTAGCTAATTGCACAGTCGACGGCCATCGGGGTTTCGGTCCGAGCCGCGACCTCGATGGCCCTTACATGACACACCATACTTAAACGCACGCATGAGCACATGCGTGGCCCTACCCACAGCGGAGGGCCCAAACCCGTTAATAACAAGAAGGAGCTCATGCTTCGAGGGCAAATCAATTATGATAAATTTAATTTAATTGTTTACTTCCGCCCTACCTGTAATCAATGCTGCCCTACCTCAAATTCAACTCTAGCTACAGCCCTGCGAGGGAGGCAGTGGGTCAAACGTTTACGGCACAATTCAGCCGGCCATCGGTAAAATGAGATTTTATTTTATTTGCAATACGTCGTTGACTGTACTTAATAAAGTACAACATATAATCGATATTCGGAGTGCTAAAAACTGTTAAAAAGTGACATCCAAAACCGTACGTATTCAATATGGAAACAATGATCGGTAATTGATCAAATAGTTCAACTGGTGGTAAGTTATGACGCCATCCCGTCGACCCTTGACACTTGAAGCCATGGTGCTGACCGCTGAAATAATTTTAATTTATTATACTATTTGAATATTGTCATAAAGTAAATAATTTTACTTTATGACAATATTGTGTTATAATACGCAGCCATAATATCTAGATCTTACGAAATTATATATTAATTATTTATGTAAAATTTGACGTTTCATAAGAACGCTGAACCGTCTATTTGAATAAAGATATTTTGAATTTGAATTTTTATTTTGCTCTCAGACTCAAGCGTTTTATATTTATGATGATTTTGGTAGGCATAAACAAGTGAGATCATTTGAATAAATAGCCTTTCAGTTTTAATACTATATAACATATGCCCACTCCTATAATGAACCCAATGTAGAGTCATGAAATTAGCAGGGGCCTGTTTGAATATATGTGTGAGACTTTTTGGATGCAAAATGAGTTTAAGATTCTTCCAACCCATGGCAAATGATTACTGGAGAACGTCGCCCGCCAAAAGGTCATCAAACAATGGAAAAACGATTGATACAGCGATAGAATCTACTTATGTACCGTTGTAGAGCCACGCAGCTATGTTATGCTCAGCGCCAGTTTTCAAACAACATAAAGTTATAAATACACAAGTGGTAAGGCAAAACAAGTAAAGAGTATTCTTGAAAGTTGATAAAGGCATGAAAAGTTATCATTCGACGAAGCATTGTGGATTATATAGTGTAACATAAATAAAAATTTAATAACTCTGTAAATATTGATGTTTAAAGAATTTAAATGTTTAATACAACTTTAAAAAGTTATCCCCTATATGTGTGTTCATTTATTGTCGCGATGTGTAACGACACGCTGTATATATATATTATATTATATATATATGTGTATATCGTCTTTCTGTGTGAATGTTACACCTTCAGCCTATTCTAGGCAGAAGAAGAAGTATATAATATTCGTTAGACGGTAGCCATACCTAGTGGCTATATATACTATTGGCGATATATACTACATAAAGAATATATAATTATATATAATACAGGAATGGAATCGCCATCTAATGCACCATGAGTTTCCTGTTAATAAATTTCTTACGGGAATAGATTTTCCGCCTGTCAATAAGTAAATTATCACTTAAGTATAAATAAGCGAGGAGAGTACTATAGGCGTCTACCACATTCGAGGTAAAAAAAATGCGAGGATTTGAATTAGAAATTTAAAGGCTAATATTTTTACTTTGCGCATCCGTTTTATTCCGGGAAGACATCTTTGTGAAATACTAATAACGGATAATCTTACTCTGATTTAAATTTGCTTTGGTGCGGTTGGTAAAATGAGTGCGTGCCAGACGAGGTGAAAATATAACCGCTAGTTCCAGACCAAGGGGAGCTCGTCCAGTTATTCCTGCGTACATGTGGAATGCCTTTGATTGACTATTTACAGAAAATATCTGCAGTCGCAAATAGATCTTTTAATGTTTGCACTGTTGGCACCAATGATATATTTTTATACTTTATATATTATGTTATATTATCATTTATCACTAAAGAAGAATTCTTTAGTGGTAAATGTTAATCACTTTTATTTTATATTTTGACTTTACTTTGTCATGTTTTCAATTCCAAATTAACTGTTAAATAGTTCTTAATTCACATTTACTTAATATCAATCATGAAAGTACTTTAAGTTTTTATTAAACTGCTGCCATTGCTTCTTGCTATTCGCGTATTATATTAAATATACATGTGGAAACATTTTTTACATTCCACATATGCCACGCGTTTGCGAATAGAATCGCATCAAGCTAATTTAAACTGGGACTTAAGGTGAAGATGTATCTATATGAGTACGTAAGAACTTTAGTACGATTCACTTTGAATTTCATAACAAAAAATTGTGTACCACCATCCGTAAGTCTGTCCGTCGGTTATGCTTATGTTTTAGAGAAATATTAGCAATGAATTAAGATAAATTTTATTAAATAAATTTCCATTTATTCTAAGGAGGATCCCAATTGGCTTTTCTAATTAAACTCACAACCGTTTAAAAGTTATTAAAGAAAGACGATCGACTCCCCTGATTTTTCGCTTGTAAATTAAAAAAAACACATATTTTTAATTGCCACTCTGTTTTTTCTGTTGTATTCCACATAATTATATATAATACGGGTGTGAATCGTGCACTTTTGGATTTTACAAATATATTTTTTTTATATAAATATTATGTATATTTATCATAGATTAATTAATTACATATATGTGCATTTGAAATTAATTACATATATGCATTGTGTTAATTAGATTCAGTTATTTTTGGAATTAAAAGTTCATTAGAAATTCTTTTATTTAAATAAATGAAAACAATTTATTCATAATACATTGTCAAGGGGACGATATTTGTAACATCGTTAGGTTCAATTTAACTTCACGTTTGACACGTTAATTCTTCCAGCTTTTGACCCTTTATGTAAGTAATAAAACAAATATTTAATTAGCAGAACTTTAATAGTTTTTAGGAGTAATTTATTTTTCCATCACCTTTTGTCCCTAAAACTTTGATTTGATTTTATACTTGTCAATTACTTGACTAAAACTTTTTATTATATACCTACTTACTTGTTTGACAAGAATATAATCATAGTCAACGGTGGTAAGGCCACGCAGCAGCCTCGGCCATAGATAAGACAGATATACTGAGGCCTCGGCTGTTGCACGAATGAGCAGGATCGTCCGGGTAAGTACCTAGTACCTAATTACCTCACAGGAGACCGGCGTAAAGTGGAAGTATAATACTTTCGCGTTTCGTCTGGTGAGTGAGGTGGCCGGAGCCCAATTTTTCAAAATGTTGTTAACGCATCTGGAACCCTCGGGTGTGGCAGATGTCCATGGGCGGCGGTATTCAATTAACATCAGGTGAACCGTCTGGTCGTTTGACAACTTTTCTCATAAAAAAAGCCCTAAAAATGCGTACCTACGTAATGAATTCTCCTACATAGCTGTACACTTGTCATGACATTGTCATGACGAGTATATGCTTAAAGGAATTCTCTTTTAAAATAATAACGTAAATTATGAAGCAATGTATTTCTTAAAAATAATGTAAAATATTTGATTAATGCGTCTATACATGGAGTGTCTATATGTCTATATGTGGAGTAAAAATGTATTCCTTTAGGCATCAACAAAGTATTAACATCCTTAACAAGCTATGGAATGTTGGCTGACTAGTAAATTTATATCGGTAAAAAAAGAATTAAGACATAGGTATACATACATGTAGATGCACAATGAGTTTTATTGTTATTTTTATCATAATCTCGTAGGAGCTTTATGAATATGTTTGCAGTATTCACTATTTAGCCATCTTAAACATTTTAATTTTTGAACCTTCTTGTTATAACAATTTTAAAATTTATAAACATTTACCTATTATTAAAAATTTATTAAATGTGACTATTTTTAAGGTATTTTGTTCACCCCTAATTAGCATGAATTATACGTTTAATGCGTATTTCATTTGTCGTTAAGTATTTATTGCTGAACCTTGCACTTTTCGTGTATTTATGCCAATAAAAGGACGATGTGATGTCTATGTCTATTAGAACTGTACCACGCATTATTTTCAATAAGAATTAATGAGCGTACGCTGCACTGCGGAGCAGTCGTTGACATAACGTGTGCGACCATATTTTGTTCTTCGCTCAATCGTTCCTGCAGTTTGAAATTGCCGCGACGATACGGAGACGGACAGTAGCGGTCAAGCCGCGCGAGCGCGCCAATGCCAGCCATCAGTCAGATGAGCGCACGAATTGAAAGTTTCGCTTGTGGTATTTATTTTTTATTTGTTTTGGTGCGACTGGCAAACCAGTTATTAAAGTTTTAAAAGAGAGAAGACTAAATGTATAGTTAAATAAATAGTTTTAGTGCAATTTAACAGTGTCACCGAAATAATTTCGGTATGTAACAATGTTGTGGTTTTTTGTTATCAATCTGCGGTTATCGTGTGCCCCTTGCGAACTTTTAATAAGCTTTATTTCCTTTGTTTAGGAACGGCGTCGCCTACGCTAATATTTTGCGTGAACGGTAGTACTACATAGTACTATCATAATATTTATAATGGACGCAGAAAGAAAAATAAACTTATGCGAAGGAGTGCCTCTTAATTCACCAGGTGCGGCGAATATTTTTTTAAATACTACTAGTAAAAATAGAAAAGATAACGATGGAACTGTCATACATTTGAAAACAGGTGACTACACAATTATTTTTGCACACAAGTAAGCCAATTAACGAGTTATTTAACACTAACCAACGTATTCTTGTATTTTTAGAGAAACCGGCGGACGTCGGCGTGCATATAAACACGACATTCTCTATAGCGTCTTCCAAGAAAATAAAGCTTTTGTTCATATTGAACTTCTTACTTAGCGTTATTTGTATGATAATAAGTTGTTCAGTGGCATTCTACTACTGGAATGAAATGATATCAATGAGGAAGCAAATAGAAGTTGTCAGAGAGCAGTTTTTAATTCATAATTTTAAAAATGGTGTAGTTGAACAGGATAGGCCTGAGCATAGTGCACTGGTGTCAAACTTTAGGCCTCAAGTAAGAGGAGAGACCCGCGAGCCTCGTATGAACTATCCCAAGGAGGATATATCTCCAAATGCCAGACGATACTATGTGGAGGACCTTGGAGAAGACATGTTGCTTGTTGACTCAAGTAAAAAAGATGCAAAGCAAGATAAAACACCTATTTATGATATATCAGCATTCAGAAAAGGTATTTATTTTTTATTTTGGCCATTCTTGAGCATTGTTCATAAACATATTAAAAGCTTACCAAAATTTTATTTTAGAACCAGTGGTTGCACATTTTAATGGGGCCATGCAAGAGGTCAACATTGGAACTGATGGTGAGAGACAGTTAAATATTTAATAACACATTGAGTATTTAGACATAATTTGTGCAGTGTTATATTGCGTTTAGGCAAGTTTTTTACACAGTCACAACAATGCTTACAATTAATACATAAAATTTACAAATTTTTCATTCATTAATTTATATAGAAATTCAGCATATTGGTAATAGAAATAACTTAAATATTAACAATGAACATTATTTACCAGCAATATGAATCATTACAAATCAGAGCTCAAGGAAAAGAACAATGATTAAATATTAAAATATAGAGTATAAAAAAAATTTAATTCAATTAAATCATGCAGTTGAAATAATACTGTAATGGCATGTGTTAATGGCTATATTTCATTGTTAGTCAACCGCTGAACCATTCATTCACATATCATAGATTACAGTTCTGCGCGCACTACAAATATGTGATCAACATGTATAACATGTGTACTGCAGGATATACTAAGATCGTTTGCATTGCATTGTTTGTATGTTCAATAATTTATTTCAAAATTAACCATATGTATACCACATAGAGTGCAAAATAGGAAAAATAGAGCAAAATAAGAAACTTATACTGACATGCTGTTACTTAATTAAGCTTAAGCGGAGGTTCAGATGATAAGTAATCTGTATATTGCAAATGAAGAGGCCAGACAGTGTTGATTAGCATCCTTTTGCTTCAATGTGTCTATTATTTTATTCTTTTTTTATGTCAACATTGCATATTCATATTTATAGGCGACAACGGTATTTATAAATTCGAAATACGAACGGGATCTAAGCAATTTAAAAATATTACAAAAATACTGATCTATTTCGACGCGTAGTATGTTTTTTTGTTGTTTTTTATTATGACGAATTTTGGTTTTATTTTCCAATTCCGTGATAGTTAAGAGACGCGATAGCACAATGTCCGAGCGCTCCCCTTTAATTCAATATACTCGAGCAACCTGAGTTTGATCCCCGGTGCCGGCACCAATTAAGTTTTTAACTTTAAGTGCTGAATTATCACGTGCTCCGCGGTGAAGGAAAATATCGTGAGGGAACCTGCATATTTTCGAAATAATAACAAAAAAAAATATTTTTCAAACATATGTGAAGTCCGCCAATCCTCATTGGGGCCGCGTGGTGAACTAAGCCCTGATACCCTCTGTATAGAGGAGGCCTTTGGACAGCAGTGGGGCATGTATAGGCTTTTTTTTTCCAATTCACTTAAATTTCAGACATAAGTTCGTTGCGTTTGCTTTGATTGCGGGATTTAGGATAACGGATACAACGCAAAATTGAGGTTAAACAAAGAAATGTGAGACGATATGAGCTCGAGATAAATTGACCTGGTCTACTTTTATAGGCAGTATAACAGTTGTTCAAAAGAAAACACTTATCGATTGCTAAGTTTGATAATAAAACCATCTAGGGTCGCGATTTTTTTTAATCACAATCGAACTAGGGTTGTCACGATCGTCGGACTCATTTCTGTCGGAATTTTTCGTTGTTAAAACTGTTCAAAGTTAACACATTCAACTTCGTTTTGTATCGAACTCGCAAGTTTTATATTATATTACCACCGTTCACGCCAATATTTAATTAATAGTACATGCACCAGATGTAATTATTTCTTAAATTACATTTCTTAGTTTTTTTATAAAATTCTGTGAGCATGCTAGCCAATTCCACCTTTTTCACCTGAATAGTTTCATCATAAATTGTTAAAATGAAAATAATTTTTGGTCTGTGTCTGTTAATTTTTTAGGGTTCCGTGGGTACCTGGTAAAACGCTATCTGTCTGCCCGTCAGTCAGGGGGTATTTCATAAACCGTAATATTTAAATAGTTGAAATTTTAATTTGAAACGGATGATATATTTCTTTTGCTGCTATAACAACAAATACTATAAAGCAGAATAAAAAATACTTACGTGGGGCCCCCATACAACAGACATGATTTTTATGCCGTTTTTATAGATAATTGTACGGAACCATTAGTGCGCGAGTCCAACTCGCACTTGGCCGGTTTATTTTTAATTATCTTTCATCCCATCAAATTAGAATTCTTAATTATAATAAATTGCAAAAATTGGATAAGAACAAAAATCTTCGAACAGACTAATGGAACGAAACATCGCGTCTTCTGGCTACATAATGTAACGGATTTATCATGCCCTACGCTATTGTTACGTCTATGTCTAAAGCGAACAATAGAATGTTTGAACTGTTAAGTGAATCATTTAGCGTATTCAATTTGAACTCAATAATTTTGTATCATTGACTGCCGTCTCTGGCGCCCTTTACACTTACGGTGTGAATATAAATATATAGAAAGCCAACGCATGAACCTACACATAGTTTAGTTTCGAACGCGACAAGTGTTAAGCCTGTCGTACATCCATCACAAATTAGTGATATTGAGTTTCAGCTTCTATGAAATGCATTCCACAAGGATTACAGCCGTTTCATGTTTTTTCCAAATTCGAAGTTTATTTATTCAAGCAATGCTATAGGAAAATATTTAACAATACGAAAGTTTTCCTCACTAGGACCGTGGTTTAGAACATAAAATAAAATAGAAATAGATAACCTTAACCGGTAGTATTTGCACCTTTACTGTTTTAACAAATATTCACGCATTTGGAGGAAAACTTTTCTTCGACCGAAGACATTAGGGTGCCAACGACTCTTTCCTCGTAATTGATGCGAGTAATTAGCAATTGCGAAATACTTACCTTAACGATTTCCTTTGATCGTAATGAACTAATGCTAAATTACTTTATTATGGGTAAGGCAACCGACTACTGAAAATTTAATGCGGGTAATTTTGGAATGTTATAGATCGTTATGGTTTGAATTTATTGTAATAACGCGTATAATTTTGAAGATACTGGATGCAATTATTGTAAACGTTACGGATATGCCAAATATAACAATTTCTCTCGATAAGTATTGCTAACCCATTTATAGAGATCAGAGAATTATAATTGTTAATTATAGCGGTGCCTGGTTGTGCGTGCATGTGTCAGATTTGCAAAAATGGCTTGTGAGGCATGTGAGACGTATTTTGCGAGACTGTTTTACTTATTATTGAAAAGCGGGACTGTGTCTGGCTTCACAGGACGGTCCCATAGAATGGTTCACGGTTGGCCGCCACAATTATAGGGCGATTAATAAAGTGCGAAGAATTTTTCTCAATAAATAAGTTGTGATAACATTTCAACGAATAATTACAACGCCTCGCTTTGTTCTCATCAGTAACTTGACACTAATGTTGATGTTTGGAGTTGAAGGGCTTCAGTTGGTCCCGTCAATGACAAACGCCATGTCGCAATAAAAATCCTTTGATTTAAATAATTTTTAGGAAGTACATAATGTAAAAATACGTAAGACAGACATTCCATTACTCGTTAATATAATCTAAAATGTCCCAAAAGGTGGCTAACGGCCGCACCTGAATCTTTCAGATATTTTAATGAATTAAATTCGTTGCCTTGTCAAGTAGTCTTATTGTATTACAATATTTTTATATGTACGACATATTAGAATCGATACCAAAATCCATGAGAACACACTCTTCGATTTTGGCCACGTTAGAAAAAGGCATAACGACCTTTGCTACGGCAGAATAATCTCCAATATCGCGGATAAAACCTAATTACTAGTTTTCTGTATCTCAAGTTATAAAAACTTTTCTAAGAATGTCTGTCTGCTTGAACCGTTTTTCTAAGAGAGGGATGAAGCTATCATGTTGAAATTTATATCTCTTTTGGCAGTGTAGAAATACGAAATCAATGCAATCAAAAGATTCACGTTAAAATAAAATTTAAAGTCCTAGTTAATTTGAATGATATTATAATTATGTAAATACGTGGTCAATTTATAACTAGAGTACGCGATTATTTATCTTTGGACAGTGAAAGAATCACTGAGAGCTATTCTTTCTCCCGCTTGATTTTTTTAATACTAAACAGTTAATTGCGACTTTACTGTCATCTTACTTATGAGTATGGAATCAACACTTGAACTTCCATCGAAAAATTTTTAAAATCTACCCTCCGTCTAAGATAGAGAAATGACAAGACCTATTGCCTTAACATCCTTTAGTGGACGTAATTTATATATGAGGATATTATTTCCAATAGAACATGTACTTTATATATAAAACATAATGTAACGCTCATAAATACGTATTACTAAAGAAAAAGCTTTACCAGTTATGAATCGTCACGCTTATTTTCTCGGTCAACACTTATAGCTAATGCAATTGTTTAGGGGAAGAACGGAAGCGTAAATGGCAGTGCTTATAGCATCAATAAATAGTCGTTACATTTTTATAACACTAAGAGAAGGGGTACACTGTTGTGTGAATCATAAATAACAAACTAATTTGCTCTTAATGACTGATAGCTTGTGTGTACACTTCGATTTTGTAAAGATTAAATATGTTTTGTTACAATTGTTAAAATGAATATCGTTGATTTGTTAAGTTTTTACTAAAAGTGTTCATAGATTATCCACATGCCTGACATGTTTAGGCAGCCTATCAAATTCGTAAAATCCCAGCCTTTTCACGGGCTGTCTTCTATATATGTCATACTCTACAAGCGTAGATATCAATCACTTAAAATTACATATTTTACTGTTAAATGCGTTATAATTGAAGTCTTTGAGCGGTGGTAGCTAGTAACATTTTCAAATATAAAGTTTTAAAGCAGCTCTTTCTAATCTTTGTAGCTATCGTCGGGCCGTGGCAGCGCGACGTGGAGGCGTCCTCCAAAGACAGCGAGAACAAAATCGAGCTGAACAAAAACTATGTCACTATAAAGGAAAGCGGTCTATATTTAGTTTATGCCCAGGTAAGCTGTTAATGTTTGTTATTTAACTTAAATAAGCAGTTATTCCTTCATCTATGCCTTGCCCTTGTCTTTATTGTTCAAAAAAGCCTAGTTCAGTCATAGTCATCCTTCTTCCTTATCCCAATTAGGTGGGGTCGGCACAACATCTGAATCATGTTGTGAGCGGTTTTGGCTTTGTTTTTACAAACACCCAGAACCGGAATAATTTTAAAGACCGACGTGAAGTCAAATTATTAAACTTTCTGGTTTCGTCTGGTGGGTGAGGTAACCGGGGCCCACACTTTTAAAGGTTGCAAATGTCCATGGGCGGCGGTCATATGTAACATCAGGTGAACTGAAATAAAATTATGCAATGCTATATGGAATCCGACACAGCGTTAAATTTTCTCACTTATCTCACAAAGGCATCAGATTCGCGGGATTGTATGACTTCAACGGGACGCGTTTAATTCGATTCCAGGTGGTGTACCTGACGCACGCGCCGAACTGCTACTTCGTGTGGGCGCGTGCGCCTGCGCAGGAGCCGCGCATGCTGAGCGCGTGCGCCACCGGCGACGACTCGAGCGGGCGGCCGCTCGACAAGTCGCAGATGTCCTGCGCCACGCAGACGCTCGCGCGCCTGCGCAAGGGCGACACGCTCAACATCGCGCAGCGCGAGCGCAACCGCACGCTCTGGCTGCGGCCCGGCTTCACCTACTTCGGCCTCATCAAGATCGCCGACTGAGCGACGCGCCACTTGAATTGCGACGGAACTGCCGCCCCCGCCGAAGTGTTCGTGTATATGAACCTCTTGAAATATCACGTGCATCGACGACTTTCGAAAATGGAACCCCAGCACCGTTCGAACCATTTCACTACAGGCGCGAGTGTTCTTTCTTGTTGTTTCTTAGATGAAAAAAAAAAACGATTTCGAAAATGGAACAGCGGCCCCGTTCGACTGTTCGAAATGTGTTACTTGTAATGTATGTACATATTAAGTATATAAACTTTTCGGAATGTTCTGCGCACCCTGCACGAGAAGTGTTACCGGTGCAAGAAATAACGGTGCTTCCATTGTCAGTGCCATACCTATTTGATTCCACTAATACATCACAAGCATGGTGTACTTATGTTACGTTTACTTAGTTGTATTTAGGACGTTTTACGAATGGTAAATTTTATGTAAAAATGATCTCATTGGATCAAATTTGTATTGTGCCAGATTTCTTGTTAAGTTTGTAATAAAAAAAATCAGCCTTGTTATTGTGATATGTTTTGCTGCCTTACAATAGCGCAAAGATTTTGCTCAAAGGTATTCAAACGTGAAATTGTTTCGATGTGTACAGTTAATACGATATGTGTATTTTAAAGAGCACATTATTAATATTTTCCTATAAGTTTCTTGTTAAAAATTGTTGAAACGCAAGTCAATTTAGTTGTTAAGTTGTACAATTTTCTAATAACGGTGCATCTGAAGTTCGTACGTAATATTATTAAGTAATGAGGCCTGCCACAAGAAATAGTCAAAATATATAGTTATTAGATAGTGATATTTCAAAGGGTATAATTTTATAATTTAAGTCTTCCAGTGCTTTTGTTGTATGATGAATATGCTTATTAGTTTTTTAACTACCAAGAATGTAGATGACTCATTTATAGACTCTCATTTATGTCTAAGTTAATAGAGAGCCATATAAGTTAAATATTTTTTAAATTAATATTGAAACTTTAATGAGGTCAAAGAAACATTGGTAGTGCAAGCTCAATTCTGTTTCTACCACCTACGAGTTGGAACAATGAAAAATTGACAGAAGTTTGCTAACTCCTTACCTCTTTGGGTTGTGGAAACTTGTGTTGATTTTAAAAATTTGACAAAATGGAAACCTCAAAGGCTTTATCAAAGCTATTGCCTTACCATCTTTGGCCCCATCGCCACATACCATCAGGTTGGAAACGCGTCAGCTATGAAAAAAAAAATAAACTTTTCAAAAAATAATCTCAAAAATTTATTGTTGACGGTTTGATTACAAAAGTTATAACCACCTTCGAATTTCATACTTCTTAAATATTTTTAAAATTTATTTCCTTAACATATTAAGCTACTTTAAAAATAGTTTGTTATTATGTATGTCTTAAACTTGTTTATAAAACTAAAAAGTGTCCTAGTTATTTTGTACCTTAAAAATGTGTTTGGATTTTTTGTTACCGATATTACATTATTGCATTGTATTAGTAGTTGTATATGATGACATTTTATTGCTATTTAGGTGACATTGAAGCAGTTTTAATTATTCGTAGGCATATTATAATGGATGCTTGGTATTTAAAGACAGAACTCATATTTTGTTTGAATGTTTTTAAACCAAAAGACATATCTGATATGTGTTTATTAAATATAATTTTGCAAACAATTCCCGGGTGCTAAATAGATAAGGTGTTTTTTGTGAAGGTAAAGAAATGTACTAAACATTTTTCCATGCAATTCTTTTTGAGTAATTTCTTGAAGCCATACTTCTTTAATGGAGTGGTTGAGATTGTAACGACGATTGCTAACTTAAAGTTTAATCTTAAGAAATTTAGCGTGGGTTACTTTAAGTTAAAGTTCTTTTTCAAAGTCCATCCCGAAGAAGTGAACTCATTAAGTTACCGCACGTACATAAGTACGCGCATACGCTTTCTATACATAAGTATTTTGTAAATAATGTCGGCAATTATACAGTCTGACAATAAAGTGCCTTAAAACATATATCATGTGTATTCTTTAAACCTCATTATAATTGCTACCGTCTATCATCTGGTTTAGATTAGATGAGACGCTATATTATAGTATATTTGACGCAACGTTAGCATTCCGTTCAGCGTAAGTAAAATATAATATGGTAATCGTTGGGCGAGATCTGCTCATGTACAATCGAGTGTAAAATGGCAGCAGCGTTGAAGGTGCGAGGTGTCTGCTTTGCATGTTAAAATTCTGTCTGCATCCCAAAATTTACGTATGTGCTCCGTTGCTGCTCCTTTTGGAATCACCCAGAATTCGGAATACGTGGGTTCGATTCCCGCAGAGGTCACAAGCTTTTCGTCTTATATAAATTTCATATTTCATCTTAAGTGCAGAGGTTAGCACTATTAAAAACTATAAAATAGGGCTATATTTTATTATAAGGAAAGTGAACTTTAATTTCCTTATTATGTTGGTAAATTATATTGGAAGAAATAGATGACAAAAACTTTACCATTCCACCTCTTTTTTGTTGGACATTATACAATATAATGAGGAAATAGAACAATGTAAATACCAGCTGCGTTAAAAGTATATTTTTTAATATAATTTCGTTTTAAAGTTTTTTAAGCGAAAAGCAATATGTGCTGCAAACTTGTGTCGTTAGTTGAAATAATTGCTTGAAAATTATTGTAGGCGCTTCACAAAAAAAACTTATTTCATATAGCTTTTTGTTGTAAATAATAGCAAAACGCTTTAGTTGATCATCATAAAAAATTAACATCAAAAGTTAACTAATTAACGTCGTAAATCTGATTTACATCCATAACATTAATTTGACCGAATCGGGATCCAAACGACAAAAATATACATATGTATGTAGAACATTTACAATACAACAACGGTACAACATTTATAAATTAATGGTAACAAATTTCTTGCGCATTTGGTACAGTTTTTGTAAATTTAAATCCATTAATTTCCTCATTTTATTTTTTAACTTAAGCGGACCCGACAGACATCCTGAACACATGTCTTAAATCCGACAACAACTTATAAGAAAAAAATAAGCATAATGGATATAAAAATATCTATCTATTGTGCTAAGAGTTATGCAGCTATTAAGAAAAAATAATAAAAGAATTCAGCGACAATTTCCAGCTCTCTAAAGAAGTTAAAGCTCGATGGAAGGTTTATGATAAAAGACTACTACGTTTTCAATACTAATATAAGAACTATTTGTAGTGAATGCAATGAAATATTTATTAAGACGGTTATCAGGGTTATCATCTTTTTATTTTTTAGCAGCTTGGTAGTATTGCATGGGCAACTTAGTGAATAAGAAATACCTACACTTTCTAAATCCCTTAATCACGCGATAATGTAATACCTGTAGGAAATATATTACCAAGGAATCTCTTCGATCGTATCTTTGTAAACTTTTATCAATATGTAAGAAATTACACGATGCACTCTTTGTAAAAAGGCAGCAGGGTTTTAAGCAATCTGCTATCTGATATGACGCTGTTTTCAAATAATACTTTATATATTTCGTAACGTAGTAATATGGAAACCGTCAAGAGGAACTGTCAGCACGATCATTCACTGTTGGCCTTTAGGAGGCCTTTACAGATCCACCGGATTACAGGTGGACGGACGTTGATGGCGCCTAGCCTAAACATCGAGCTAAGGAGGCTGGGTTCGGCGAGCTTTCACTCTGTTAGTAATTATACAGGATTGGGTTGGTTGGGAGGACTCAAAGCTAGGGATACCGAAAAAATATCGATATATCAATATTTTTATCCGATATATTTTGATCCGATATATCGATTTAACTATTCAATATCGAAATCGTACTTAGCATACGTTAGGTACTTGCCATACATACTTGGCATAGGTTTATATCGAGGCCGATATTGATATTTTTATAAATATCGATATGTTGATATTTATAAAAATATCAATATCGCTCCATAGAGTATCTAGGAGCAAAGGCCCCTAGAGCAGATCTCGGCTTGGCCTGTTACTCAATAAAGGCATAAACGCTTATATTGTTGGGTGCTCGAGAGGACCGGACCTCGGCTTGGTCGGTAGGTATCCTCGGGATTGTAACTATTCTCGGGCTTAGGGTAGGTCAGATAACTTTTGTAGGGCATGACGACCCCTAATTAGCACTATTGTAAACAGGTGAAAAAATGGTGATTAGCAGTAACAGAACGTTTTATGGTCGTATTTTTGTAAAAAATAGTTGCTTACATTAAATAGTAGACTAAATTACAGCTTTAGTAATAAAAAGATGTAATTAATGGGTCAGTTCTTTTTTAGACATTCTGAGTTTTCAGTCTCGCGTGTGTGTAGATATTAATGTTTTTGTAAAATGCAAAGGATATGCAACGATCTTTGACTACTTCTTTAGCTTCTTTCAAAATGATGCTGTGATCCTGATCAAATAATTCTCTTGATGTTTAAATTAAACGACTTTATATTTACGATTTATATTTTAATGATATTTTCAGATTTTTTAAAAGGATAACGGTTTCTTCACAATTTTTTAAAACATTATAACTTTTGAATACGAGTCTATGTTACCTTGTTAGAGAGTTAAACTTAAATGAAAACATTGTTTACATAATAAATAAAGACAATTAATATATGCATTTCGCTTAGTAGCTGGATAGGAACGTCTTTGCAATCTGTTGCAGACACAAGAATTAGTTTCGGGCTAAAAGACTCGTGTGGGAATCGAACCCACGACCTCTGACGCCGAAGCATATATGCACATTTTACCATATTTATGAAATGAAACGAATATTAATACCCGTTTTAAAAATAATAATGCGTCCATAGATAGTTCTACCTATGAATAGAAAAGCGTGGATTCAACGTGCAAGAATTGGGCGAATTATTGGACAATCAACACGTGCCAGTGCATATTGGCTGAGCCAAACATGGACTTTGCCTTCCAATGTGCAGTGCCAAGATATTATGAAACGACATGTTCGGGTCGCAAGCAATACGTCTCTAGTTATGCGATTACCTTTAATGTGAAGGGATCGAATTTAATGCTCCGACTTAGGCTATGGTAGCAAAACAAGTCAATTTTGCGGGACACCCAGGAATGCAACGCTACTATGAGTATTCCATTAAGTTAATCAAGAAAAATGAAATCGTAAAGTTAATTTTCGTAGTCTATAATGTCTAAGTTTTCCTCAAGTTTCAGTATGTAGCACAAGAAATGATTTTTTATTTGGTTTTCGAGGCGGCATGCTTTTCATTGTTACTAAAGGGAATACATTTCTTTGCACGGGCTCGATGATCCTTTATATAAAAAGTGTATAAATCATTAATGTTTAAAAAGTCAACGTCCGAGGAAGCACCAGGGCCGCATAGAATACTGTCGCAGTAAATTTTTGCCTTTCACCTAATGAGTGAGGCTAACGGTTCCTCTCTCTTAAATGTTTGCTATTATGGATGTTCATTGGCAGTGCTAATCAATAACTAGTAGGTTAATCGATTCGTCGAAAAGAGGAACGAAAAAATGATCTTATCCCAAAGTTTCGGGACGTATTGTGTATCCACAAGTGTGTACGATATATACAAATGAGATTATATTAGCCAATAATCGATACAACTACAACATAATTAATTGCTTATATTTACGCAAATACTTCACTTAAACAAAACTATTTTATGGATGGTACTTTGTTAAATCATTAACTATAACATGAGATCGTAAACAACTCTTAAACGACTCGCTATTGTGAATATAATAAAAAGACAAAATTAACCGGGAATGTAATCCGGGTTAATGTATTTCAATTATAATATTTAAATATCCTGTTAATTTAATTAAACACTAGCTTATACTATAGTAATTATGGGTTAAATATAGCAGTAGAATACATTTAGTATATTCTTTTTATATTTTTTTCTGATGTTCGAGGAGTAACGATGGTACAAATATGAATGAATGAATATACTTTATTGCACACTAAAAATAAAATAAAAAATCAAAAAATAAATGGTCGGCAAAAATTAATTTGTATAGGTGTTTGCATTAATTATCTTATTGAAGGAAATACATAAAAAAATTTGACATGGAATGGAATATATTATTGCCCACTAAAAAATAAAAAATAACACTTAACTATTAACACTTAAATACATATTTCTTTGTTAAGAAAATAACATTACAGAAATAAGTAGTGATCCTTTCCAAGATATACAATTTATCCATAAAAAATTGTATTTGTGGAAACCTTATCAGGGACTATCTGGCGTGGCATATCCGTTCTAGAAACGCAATGAAGCGATCTCTGGACGGAATGCTTGCGTCACAAAAGAAACGGAACGTCATCCAGTCGTTTGTATTAATTTACTATGTACGAGTACTTCAAAAAAGTTTACGTTGTCGTTTCAGACATAAATGGTCACCCGAATTATTAAGAAATCAACACAACAGAACTGACTTGAAAAATGTCTGGCAATTAATACAAGATAAATAGCGTTTATAGATGACTGTGGTAGTGCAACAGTAGACGCAATAGCCTTCTCTGTTGGCCGAATGGGCAGGTCCTTCCGGCTAAGTAACACGACCTCACAGAAGACCGACATGAAGTGAATGCGTTATACTTCAGCGTTTGGTGAGTGAGGTAGCCGGGGCCCAATTTATTAAAAGGTGGCTACGGGCGTTGCAGATGTCAAATACCAATTCAAATTAAAAATATCTCTATTCAAATAGACACTTGTTGATACATAAGTTTGTAAGTTACCACCGGTTCGGAAGGCAGTTTCTGTTGAGAAGAGACCGGCAAGAAACTCAACAGTTGCTCTTTTTTTCTTAATAAAGATCAGATTACAATATAACATAGGTATAGTATTAACTCATTTAACTCCACAAATTGGCTTCGTCGAGATATTCCGCAATCGTGTAATATGCTTTCGTCATAAGTTAAATCACAATCTGAAGTTAGTTCTCTTTATATCTTAGTCCTTCTTTATATCTTATCTCTTTATATGTTATCTAGTTTATATCTGTCACAATTATTTCGGTAATAATTAAAATTAAGTCTAACATGCAAAATATTACAATATTTTGTTTGTTTAGTTATCACTTAATAGCAGGTAAACTCGTGTGCTACCTACTCACTATCACTATTTGAGTATTATATCTAAAACGCACAATGTGGTTGATTTTCGACCTACGAATCGATCGAACATTCTGCGACGCAAACAAATCGCAAACCATTCGACATACACCCATGGTAGGCTTATTGTTAGTTTGGGCTAGATTTCAGGCCACAATGTATCTAGGAGCTGGCTGTATTATAAATTGTATGTAAATAATATTTTAGGACACATTTTTACACAACGTCCTCTTGTCCCAAACTAAGCAACGCTTGTACTATGGGTACTAGATAACTGATAAGCATACTTAAACATACTTTTCTTTTGTAAATAAATACATATTATACTTACTTAAACAACCAAACTACTGAAATATTTTTTTCTGTTTTTTAGTATTCGTTGTTATAGCGGCAGCAGAAATACATAATCTGTGAAAATTTTAACTGTCTAACTATCACGGTCATGAGTTACAGCCTGGTGACAGACAGCGAACTAAGACTTTAGTAATAGGGTCCCGTTTAACTCTTTGGGTACGGAACCCTAAAAACTTCAAAACTATGTGACTGTTCCACTGTAAAATAGAGCCGCGTTGTATCTATTTACTGTAAAAATGTAGGTAGGCCTCTACCCAGCCCTAGCATGTTACTTTTAAATCCCTTATCAGAATCGGATAACTCGCATCGTTCGGCTTGCCCGAACGAAAGGTCGAATCGAGGTCGTTCGTTTCAATTCACAACGTATGCCTTATATAAATGCAATGAATGTTTATTACCTAGTAAGAACTCTATATCGGAATTGGAAATCGTCGCACCTATCTAAAATTTTAGAGTGTGTTAGTTTTTTTGTGTGCGTGTATTAATCGGAATAAAAGACGAATGTCTATGATTACTTTTAGTGGTAGTCTGCGCTCGAGATGAAACTTACGCGTGAGTTTAATAGAAAAATTGTCGTGAAATTTTTGGCGCTGCCTGAATTCGAACTAGCGTCTTCTAGGTAACTCGCCCAGACGCTTTTAGCAACTGTACAGTTCCCAATATCCTGATGACGCGGTCCTGTCTTGTTTCTTTTTGAATATATCAGATGACATTTTACAATGCTTACAATATTTGAACGAGAGGGTGTTGAGAGGGTTTTGCGTTAGCCATTTTCTATCAAATCCACAGTGTCGATTGGCATATAATTGTTAAATTCTTCATCATTGTCTGTATTTTGATTCGTAAACATCAAAATAGTAAAATTTGTGTCATTTAGTTTTATTTTCCATAAAAATACGAAAAGTTTACGAAAGTTAGCCTAGCTAACGCAGTGTTTTAGAGTCGCTTCATCAAAACAGACCTACCTACATTTTTTTTTGGTTTTTTTATGATATCTCCATAGACTTAAATTATTTTAAATACGATTGAATCTTTAAAACGCAATGTAATTAATGAGCAGGGAATCAACAGAAATCTTTTTTCAAAATGCAGTAATTTTGAAAGTTTAAGAATAGTGCGAGAAGCCGAGACGGCTCAGTGTTCGGGCGCTCATTTGGAATCTCTTGTATTAACTGATGGTAATGCTTTCGGTCACGAGACTATTAAAGCTTCATCTAACGCACTCATTTGGAATGAAATTTTTAAGTGTAATTTTCCCAGATGAGGTATCACGTGCGCATCGGTGAAGGGAAACATTATGAGGAAACCTGCATATTTTCCAAATAATCATTTGAAACAATATAGATATTTAAAAAAGATTTTAAGACTGCTTATCTGTAGCTCATCTCTGTACAGAGGAGATCTTTGTCTAGCTGTGGGACGTATATGGCCTGTTGATTTCCTATGCTTGCTTTATGCGAAATGAATTTCCATATTACCTTATATACGGTTTACTTTTACTTTGTAAACGAAAAAAAAAACATATATCAAGAATTTCAAATTTAGCCAGTGGTATTTTCGGACCGATACGACTTAGTGACCTTCAAGAAGAGAGCCTACTTCTACCTTAAAGGCCGGCAACGCAATTGCGACTCAACTGATGTTGCGAACGTCCATGGGCGGGGGTAATCGCTTATCATCAGGCCGCTTGCTCGTTTGCCTCCTATTTCCATAAAAAAAAAATCAAAAAGTAACTTGTTAGAGATTTTATTTTGCGGCGTAGATAAATATTCAAATTTCTTATATCTATACTTCTGGTTCCGTTCTGTGAATTATCAGTACATATTTATACGGGACCTTTGATCCGCGGGATTCAGTCACACTTGACTGGGTTTTCCGAAACGCTGCAGTGCATAGTGCGTCTAACTGCGTAACACATACGGACTATCTTGCATTGTATGCACTATAGTGTTGTCGATACGGGGAGGGCGCGAGACGTGCGCGGGCGCACCTCGGTACGACGCGATCGCTCCCCACTTGTTTTCAGACCGGCTCGGGTCGCGCGCGTGTTTCTATCTTCCGTACGCCAGCGAACACGTGCTAACACGAACTAGCTCCTCAGAGGCAGCCCGGCTCGACCCCCCGCGATCCGATGATGGGGCGATAGCTCCGATCGATATCGGTCCGCTCGTGAACTTTTGCAGTGTTCGGTATTGTTATGGAAAGGAGCGCTCTGATAGCCGAAACGATGTACACGAAATCGGACGCGCTGAAGGAGGCTAAGGATCTCACTAAGAACCTGGTGGGAGGTGATTTCGAGCGCCAGTACGGTAAGGCGGAGAAGGGCGGCAGCGGCCGGAGGAAGTGCGTCCTGGTGGGAGTATCCATCGGCGTGCTGGCCGTCTGGCTCTTGGTGATAACGCTCGTGAGGGAGGTCCAACTCACCCGCCTCCGCGCCGAAGTGGACCAGCTCACGGCGAACATGATCGCGATGTCCGCCAACGTGATGTCCCTCAATCAGAAGCTCTCCAACAACCGGCTCCTGAACGAATTCAAAAACTTGGAGGACACGGTGAGTGCGCCCACTTGTTTACATGCGATCCGACCGACGTCGGCTAATATTTGAAATGTGACGAGATGACACGTGTCACATAACTTCCACCAATATAGTTGTTTACGACATCGCCGCCCCGTGCCGTTTGTGAGATTATTTTCTTTGACAACATAATGTATACGTTATAAAATAACGTCAATGACACAGTTGAAGAAAGTAATTATTGAATAAATTTGCATGTTTATTTTCGAATAATTTTGTCATCCTTTGTTGCCGTATGACACTTAAACATACTCGCAAGCAATATTCGACTGTTGAAATAAACAAGCATGATAAAACATGTCTTAATGTTCGGCTCATGCGGCATGCTTCGGCTGTGTGAGTTTAGTTTACGTAATGTCTTAAAGAGGTATTTAATGTTAGATAACGCGCTCGTCTCGGCCAAGGTTCTATTACGGTCTATTACAGTCAATTGACTGCGCGTGGCAACTTCTGCAACAAAAACAAAATGTACCGGCAACGTTATGGTCATTGTGAAAAATGGTCTTGATTCTAGCGCCGCGTACATCACGATAACAATTGACGTTCGGACAAGGAATTTCGGAATTAGTACGTAGTTTGCGGAGCGCTAACAAAGGTTAAGTGTTGTTAAACCCCGGGATAGTCATTGAATGATACGTTATGTAGATAACGTCCTTCGTAGCAATTGTTTGGCCACAGTCATTAGAACTGCGCGATATCGCGTACGTTTGACAGATTTTATTCTAGGAACTTCATATATGAGCTTCGTTGCATATTCTTTCCAAATATTCATTTTTCAATTGCAACGAAGCGATTAATCATGTTCGCATTATCAATGTGTTCGATGCAATATAGTTAATATTTTATAGTTTGTATTTTTACAGTTTTTTTTATAGTTTGTATTTTTGACGAGTCTAAATTATTATACGATATGAAATATTCTTCTTTGCTATTGGCTATTTGGATTGGTATCTTTTGTTTCGTTGCTAAACTTAACCTTTCCTTAAAGGATATGTTCCAGGAAGACATGTGAAGTACCCCCATTTTCGACAACCCTGCATCAAGAACAAAGCCCTAATATTGACTAGACATGGTTTTGGATTTACTGTAAAAATTACTATTGTCACTGAATCCTGATGAAATTCTGTCTAAACAGAAAGGTTTCCAAAAGTCAAATATCTAAACTAAGTATTTTACTTAAGATAATAATAAAAATTAGTCATGAAACCAGGCAAATATTTTGTAATTCTATGTAAAATGAAACAATATGAGTGAAAATATTTTCTGTTTTAGTGTTATCGTCAGTTGAATGATGTCGTCATGACTTAAATTGTCATGTCTAAATATTAAGGCATGTAGCTTTTTTTCTTAGTTCCTATTTTCTATGTTTTTTCCGTTAAGTTTATATTTCTCGAGCAAGGAAATAACCGGTTTCTTATTATGATTTATTTATTAATTCTTAGAAACTTAGGAAAGAAAAGCATTGAATCAAAAAAAAAAATAACTAGGAACCATTTAAAATAAATAACTAAGAACCACAATTAAACATGAAACATAATGTCCAAGGTCCAAGAAACGATTTCTCGGAATTTCCCAAAAAGATTTAAACGGCATCGGAATTAATGACGTTTGGAATAACTTCACTAAAAGGCCATCGACTATAATATTGGCATGGAAATCGACTCGGGCTTCCTGCTTTGAATGGAAATGAGAGAAGCTGAGACCGGAGCGCCATAATCTCCTAAAACCATCGCAGTGCGGGCCATTCGGTTAAATAATGAACGATCGAAGTAGATAAGGTAGTACAAAGCGGGGGTCGGTGAGGCGAGTTTAGAACAGGTTTGGTTCGCTGTGCAAACCAGTTACGGATGTAAACAAAAACGATGCCCGTGCCCGCGAACCTGCTATTACGTAACTGCTATATCTAGCTGTCGTATACTTTTGGTTTTAATACTGGCTTTTCCCGCGTCCGCCTCCAATTTAGGTTAAAAAAACACGGGAGCTCGTTTCAAATCTTCGACAACTAATACGTTATATAAGAAGAAATGGTTTTCTTAACATTTGCCATGTAAGTAAATAAATAGCTAAATTTTAAAGTATTTACTAAAAACCTGCACGTACCAATCACGTACCAGTCAAGATTTATAAATAATTTTGTTACATTTATTAATTAGTTTGCTAATTACGTCAGGTTGTTGATTGTTGCTTAAGTAGTTCGAAATCTAATTTTTGCTTTCACAATTCGCGTAATTTCTAAACTTAAACCCACGATACGGACTATTTGATGAAATTTATTTGCAAAATAATAAGAATGAGTAAAAAAAATGGGTAAGGACACTGTTTATTGTGTATACAATGCAGACGTAGTTTGGGGCGATTGTTTAGGACCCTGCGTCAACAATGGACAAAGGAGAAGGTACAAAGGTTTCAAATCAGGTATATAAGCTGACGATGGCAAAACTTCAATATTTCTAAAAACAGTTTGTATAAAATATATTTTTTTATGTGAGAAAGTGGCAAACGAGCTGGCGGTTCACTCGATGTTAAATGATAACCGCCCATGGACATTTGCAACATCCTTAGGGTTGCAAATGCGTTGCCACCTATAAATGAAGCGTGCCACGGCTACCTCACTCAACAAATGAAACGCAAAAGTGTAACACTTCTACTTTACGCCGGTGTAGTGTAGTAAATGTCGTCATGTAATGTAGCCCGGTATGGTGCATACTACATTAAATTAAGGCTAAGAGTTCAAATTTGAACGAAATATTTGTGCCATTTGCTTTACAGGCATTTAGTTTGTTTGTGGTAAACTAATGTATTTGTATGACTTAACTGAATCTTTGATTAATAATAAAAATTTTACAAAGAAATTAACACGTTCGTAAGTTACCACCGGTTCGGAAAGCAGTTTCTGTTGAGAAGAAACCGGCAAGAAACTCAACAGTTGCTCTTTTTTTTAAAAATAGTTTACAATATAATAATACAGGCACAATAGTCTTGTTTTAGCTTACGTGAGTATCAACAGTATTAACCCCACACATTGGCGTCGTCAAGATATTCGGCAATAGTATAATAGGCTTTAGCCATAAGTTTACTTTTAATTTTTCGTTTAAATTCATCATGTGGCAGACTTAATATCGACTGTGGGATTTTATTATACATGCGCACACTTTGCCCCATGAACGACCTGTTTACTTTTTGTAGACGAAACAATGGCGTAGTTAGTTTGTCCTTATTTCTAGTATTTAGTTTATGTCTGTCACTATTCTTTAGATAATTATTAATATTATGTTTAACATACAAAATATTACAATAAATATATTGAGACGCAACAGTGAGTATATTAATCTCTTTAAAAAGATCTCTGATCTTACTACTTTGATCATGAAAGAGGGTTTATTCAAGTGATTCTTACACAAGAAGAATATTCCGAAAAATCATGTGCGAGTATCACAATATTCATTGTTTATACACAATTGAAAAAAATATTTAGGCAATGTCGAATCGATAGTTAACTTACTCATGGCCCGTTCCTATATTCAACGAACGGCCATTAGTTACATAGCATCGTAACTTTCATAACGACTTGTAGATTAAAAGAACGCTAGTAACTCACTTTCCGTAGGTAATGCAACGGCTCGTAAGGAAAACGCCTCATTTTGTTAATATAGGAACCGGCCGTACTCGCCTTTATTCTACAAACCACATATACACATCAAATTTATCAATATCGTATCATTTGGGCAGCTTAACTACTTCCTTGTGAACTGGTTGTTTAAACTTATTGATTGTCCGTAGTTCTCATGCGGCCTGTTGATTTATCCCCTCTTCGGTAATTGTACAAACGAATCGACAAGCTGTATTAGGATATGCGGGCTCCTCGTATATTGAATCGCGATTAAGTGAATGACGAAGCAAGCTGGCACAGATAAAATCGACATTTAATACAATCTCCGTGCTAACTTAGTCAGTGAATAAAATAATTTGATTACACTTTCAATTCACATGACAATTCTTGTAGGTCTTTTATAATTCAATGTCTAAATCTTATTTTTTTTCTCACTCTTTCTTCTTTTTTCTCCCTTATTCCTTTGTGTGGTCGGCACATCATGTGAATGATGTTGTCAATAGTTGACTCGGTTTTCATAAGTGGCTGCCTGCCTGATGTCAAACCCTCATGGGAGTAAACTCTCGGATCGGAAACCGTCATCTCAATAATTGTGCCTTGAGGGAATCGAACCCAGGAACTCCGATGCCGAAGCCAATAGCTTAGCACCTGCACCACCGGGTGATTTTTTTAACCGCCTTCAAAAAAGAAGGAGGTTTCTTAATTCGACTGTATATATTTAATTTTTTTTTATGTGTGTAACGGATACGTGAACGGATATGTGAACGCGGATAACTTCGTCGTTTATGAGCCGTTTTTAATGATTCTTTTTTGTTGGAAAGGAGATATCTCAAGAATGGTACCATGATAAGGAAACCCCGATCTGATGATGGCATCCCAGAGAAATCGAGGGCAATCCTTAAATTATAACATTTATTATTAAATTATACACGTTATTAACAATGTTTTTCAGTTTCCGGTTTGAAGTCGGTTCTTTTTTTAATTATTCTCGCTTCGTTTAAAAATCTTCGGTCGGGAATTTTTATCGCAGAGGTTCGGGATGTACTGTGTATCGATCGTTATAGAAATAAGATTTTTTTATGTGAGAATGTGGGAAGCGAATCGTTGTAATTCCCCGGATAATCTACCTTTGCTGCTCCAACTTCGACAGGCGAACATACATCGGTACACCGAATACACTTGTTCGACCCCACATTCGAAACACCATTTAAAAAAACATTTTGGCATTTTGAAAATCTATATCCCAAATGGCAAGGTCGATGAATGTAACTGGGCAACTCCGCTACCCCAGCCAATTTCTAATCTGCTACAAAAAGGACTGTAGGTACAGTTTGTTAATTCAAAAACTATTTAAGAACAAACAACC